CAAATCTTTCACAGACCCCCCCCAACCCCCCCGTCGGGGACCCCTCCCCACCTGTGGCTGCCCCCGGGCTGCAGCCAGGTGTCGTCCACGGGCGGGGGCACGGGCGTGCTGACCGTGCTGGTGCTGATGTCGCCGATGATGGCCAGAGCCTCCTTGAGGGCGTGGTACATGCGGAGCATCTCCTCCCTCCGCTGAGCCTGCTCGGCTGACTCCTCCATCAGGCTGGCCTGGTCCGAGCTCGAGTACAGGAAAGCCAGCAGCTCGCCGTGGATGAAATCCTTGGTCTGAGAGGGACAGGAGAGTGAAAATTGGGGTTTGGTTGGGGTTTGTTTGGGGTTTATTTGGGGTCTGTTTGGGCCAGCAGCTCGCCGTGGATGAAATCCTTGGTCTGGAGGGGCAGGAGAGTGAAAATTGGGGTTTGTTTGGGTCAAAATTGGGGTTTGTTTGGGGTTTATTTGGGTCAAAATTGGGGTTTATTTGGATTTTATTTGGGTCAAAATTGGGGTTTGTTTGGGTCAAAATTGGGGTTTATTTGGGGTTTGTTTGGGGTTTGTCTGGGGCAGCAGCTCGCCGTGGATGAAATCCTTGGTCTGGGGGGACAGGAGAGTGAAAATTGGGGTTTGTTTGGGTCAAAATTGGGGTTTGTGTTTGTGAAAATTGGGGTTTATTTGGGTTTTATTTTGGTATTGTTTGGGCCAGCAGCTCGCCGTGGATGAAATCCTTGGTCTGAGAGGGGCAGGAGAGTGAAAATTGGGGTTTAATTGGGTCAAAATTGGGGTTTAATTGGGGTTTGTTTGGGTTTTATTTGGAGTTTATTTGGGGTTTATTTAGGGTTTATCTGGGGTTTGTTTGGGCCAGCAGCTCCCCGTGGATGAAATCCTTGGTCTGAGAGGGGATTTGGGTCAAAATTTGGGTTTATTGGGGGTTTGTTTGGGTTTTATTTGGGGTTTGTTTGGGTTTTATTTGGGTCAAAATTGGGGTTTATTTGGGGTTTATTTGGGGTTTATTTGGGTTTTGTTTGGGGTTTATTTGGGTTTTGTTTGGAGTTTTTTTGGGTTTTGTTTGGGTTTATTTGGGGTTTATTTTGGTTTTATTTGGGGTTTATTTGGGTTTTATTTGGGTTTTATTTGGGGTTTATTTGGAGTTTATTTGGGGTTTATTTGGGTTTTGTTTGGAGTTTATTTGGGTTTTATTTGGGGTTTATTTGGGTCAAAATTGGGGTTTATTTGGAGTTTTTTTGGGGTTTATTTGGGGTTTGTTTGGGTTTTATTTGGGGTTTATTTGGGGTTTGTTTGGAGTTTTTTGGGGTTTTGTTTGGGTTTTGTTTGGGTTTTATTTGGGTTTTGTTTGGGTTTATTTGGGTTTATTCTGGTTTTATTTGGGCCAGCAGCTCCCCGTGGATGAAACCCTCGATCTGGGGGGGCTGAGAGGGATTTTCCTGCCCCCCACCCCCTTTTTTCCCCCCTCTCACGTTGTTGATCATGAGGTGCATGATGGTCTTTGGCATGAGGTCCCGGATGGATTTGTTGATGATCCCCACGTAGGAATCCACGAGGTTCCTGATGGTCTCCACCTGCCTCTCCAGCTGGGGGTCCATGGAAAAGGTGTTTTCCTGAGCCCCATCCTCGCTCTCAGTCTGGAAAAAAAACCC